GGCACGACTCAAGGCCCTTCGCCTCCACGTCCAACCCCGCCACTCCTCACACTGCCTATGCCTGCAGATCCACGTCTCCATGCCCTACGCCTCCACTCCCCACGTCTCAATATCTCACGTCCATCGCCCCAATCGTCCACTTCGACGCCTTCACGCCCGCTACCTACACCTCCTAACCCAAAGTCTCCACACCCCGGGCCCCACGCCTATACACCAGCACGACTCAAGGCCCTACGCCTCCACGTCCAACCCCGCCACGCTCCATGACTGCAGGCCCACGTCTCGATGTCGTCTTCGTTATCCACGCATCACGTCTCTACGCTCCGATCTTTCGCACTCCTCGTCTGCACGCCTCCACGCTCTATATCTCACACCCCACGTCTCCACGCACACTCCTCCAAGCCCGCGCACAACGAAACACGTGTCCACGTCTCTCGCCTTCATGCCCCACGCCTTCATGCCCAAGTCCTCCACGCCTCTCGCCTATCCGTCTCCAAGCCACATGCCCCCTGCCGCACGCACCACGCCTCGACATCTCCATGCCTCCACGCACCACTCCAACGCCTCCACGCCCGTTCTCTTCATTCCTCATCTCAACTCCTCACCCCTCCCAGCCTCCATACCTCACGCCTCCTCATCCCCGTCCTCGCATCCCCTGTATCCATATGCAACGCCTTCATACTCTACGCCTCTCACCTTCACACTCTACGCCTGTACGCTTCACTAGCACACCCTGCTCTTCCGCGTCAATTTAAATGAGGTATGAAACGACTCCTGAGAACTGTATTTGCGAAACGTTTGTCCAGTTTCCCACTAAGTCTTAGAACAAATCCAGAAAATATAACATCACTCTTTCTTAAATATCAGATGCCATGTAACTTACTTGTAGATTAAATTATTATTATTATTATTATTATTATTATTATTATTATTATTATTATTATTATTATTATTACCATTATTATCATTATTATTATTATTATTTTGTTATTTTGTGTTTTGCGAGTTTGCCATCATGGGGCCTCGCGATATGTGCACCCTACCGGGGCTCAGTCATGATAATCGTGGTAGTTACATATTATTTTTCTATTTGGGAGATCAGCATTTAATGCTGATTCCATTTTTATATCCCAAGGTTGTAAGTCCTGGGGGATTGGGGTTAAATGAAAATGATGATGAGATGATGAATTCGACTCTCAAACATAAACATATTGTAAATATTTTTATTGTTATTATTATTATTATTATTATTATTATTATTATTATTATTATTATTATTACCATTTGTTTCGTTTTTGTAAATTGGGTGTTTAGTTCACGCCCCATTTCGGCTTGCTTCCTTCCTTCTCCGCATGGTTCCTCGGACATACCTCGTTCCCCTTCCGAATGCCTCATAGGCCTTTTCGCAGGGATGAGATGCTCTCCCACATTCCACTTTTATTATGAATTAGCGTTGTTAGTGCCTCTCCTGTTACAGCGCTCGTGTACTCCGTGGCGGTGGCCGGGGCCGCCGCCGTCTTCCTGGCGCTGGCGCTCACCCTGGCCTGCGTCGCCTACAAGTAAGCACCTTCACCATAAGTAGGAATCATAAAAGTAAGAAATAATTGATATATTATTATTATTATTATTATTATTATTATTATTATTATTATTATTATTATTATTATTTGCTCGTGAATAGGCTGACTTAGACCTGGCTAGCGTGCAACCTGCATTTACCGGGTCTCAGCACCATTATCTCAGTGGCAGGTGCATGCAACTTTATCAGGAGATCCGCATTTCAGCTGGATCCGATTTTTATGCCACAGGGTTGTTAGCTCTGGGATACGGAACATGCAATAATGATGATGATGATAATGAGGGGTGAAAGGACTACATACACAAATACACCCATGACCGAGGCGGGACTGGAACCCACGATTATTCCTTTCGAGATCGCCACGGCACTACTGCCTTAGCGATCTCGGCTGCCCGGGCAGCTGTATTGTTATGTATTATACTAATAATTTTTATTAATATTTTGATATTCCGTGATGTCACTAAAACCCCCCATTAATTATCTTTAAAGTTGTCGCCTAGTTATTCACTCCAGCCTAATGAGCGGCTTTCATCTCACATATATTTAACAAGCGATAAACGACGATAACGACTGATATATTTGACGTCCGATCTTGATAGCGTACGTGCATTAATGAATATAATGTGCATATGAATGTCGCTTTGCAGAAGAAGAGCACATTAGCGTGCCATTCTTTAGGGATTAATACATTTTATATAAATGTGAAATGCATTAAAGGTATAGAAGAAAGGAATTAAAATTAATTTAAAATAATTGAACGAATAAGTTGAAGATCTTAAAATAAAGATGTTCTGTCATTAAGATCTTACCATTCTGGTGGCTGCCTGACTGACGGTTTCAGCTCGATTTCCGAATTATATTTTCCGAATAGCCTCTTTCCGATTTTCATTTTTCGGAAGATCCATATTTCGTAACAAAAATTCCGAAACTTAATTATTCTCAATTAAAAATATATTAATATATTTATGAAATAATGAGAATAAGCATGTATTTTATTTGATATGAAGAGAAAGAATTTTACAAAAAGTAACCTAATCTTTTCAAATATTGACTTAAGCGATTTTCTTGTCAATGTGTGGGGCTATTGGGATACCATACGTGATTTCCAGTGCTGTGGTATTCAACACAGCTGTCGTACAGCAAGCTGCTTGAAGGGATTTTGTGAACCAATTAGTAATTTCTGTGAGTTCGACAAAGAAAGTATGATCTCTTGGTTGTTTTCTTTTTCTTTCTCTTCTTATGGATTTTTTGAAATTTCCTCGATCAGATAACAGAGGCCACAAGAAGGGAATTTGTGGAATTCGTGCCTTAAAGTCAGATCAGGTTCACGACGCTTTTGGGCTATTCTTTTGAGATTGTAGTTAACAACTTCTGCTTCTGCTTCTTCTCTATTTGCTGCATGTGAATATAGGAAATTATTATAATTTGTGTACATTGATATCTTTACACAGAGCACTATTTTTTTCGTAATTTCTCACTATATTTTTTTCATTAACCGATTTACCTTCGTTAAAAATACATCCGTTTAAAATTAATTTCAGTCTCCCTCTACCAGATGTTATAATTTTCAATCGTCCCCCCCCAAAAAAAATTCAAATCCATATACGTTTCCCGGGAAATACATGATAATAGGCAGAAATCAATAATAATTATTTTTGGAACGTTGAAAAACGGATTCGGAAAGTTGGTTTCGGAAAATAAGTATGTTCGTAAATGTCTCCATTCCAAACTTTTATATGGGAGGAGTGTTTTCGAAAAATGGGTGTAACTGCTGGCGGATGTGCGGGCGCGTCGACGGGTTGCATGTGGCTATGAGTGAGAGAGCGAGCAGAATGCACACGTGCAATTGAGAGGTTGCAATTCATCCAAGGCCGTGCAGAGGAGACTTTACGTGTGTATGCCGGTTCTGTTCCTGAACGACACGTATGTTGTAGATTATTGTGCAAGTGAGTGTGAGTGTGTGTGTGTGTGTGTGCGTGTGTGTGTAGGATATGGAAAGAAAAGGCTTGTATGTGAGCGTGCGTGTGTCAGAATGAACAGGCGGTTAGTTGCGGACGTGGTGCGATGCGCATGACAAATATACACGATCCGATAATTGAGCGGGTCGACATAAATACAAGAAGCGCATCGCTCGGCCGGTATGGCCGTCAGCCAGTGTGTCCGCCGGTCGGTACGTTTGTCGGTGGGCGTGCTCATTGGCCGGTGTGCTTGTTGCCTGGCGTATTTGTCGGTCGGTGTGCTTGGCGGTCGATGTGTTTGTCGGACGGTGCACTTATTGGCCAATGAGTTTGTCGGTCGATGTGCTTGTCGGCAGATGTGCTTAGCGGTCAGTATGCTTGTAGATCGGCGCTCTTGTCAGTTGGCGTGCCTGGTGGTAGGTATATTTGACGGGCAGTATGCTTGTCGCTCGGTGTGCTTGTCTGCCGGAATTCTTGTCAGTCGGTGAGTTTGTCGGTTGGTAAGCATGTAGGTCGGTGTACTTGTTGGTCGCTGTGCTTCTCGGCCATTATGCATGTCACCCAGGGCACTTGTCAACCGATGTATGTGTGGTTTCACGTCCTTGTAAATCGGTATGCTTGACGGTCTGCGTCCTAGTCGGTTGATGTGCATGTTGCTCCAGGGTGTCGTCGATCGGTGTGCTTTTTGGTCGGCGGGCTCATCGTTCCGTGAAGTTATTGCTGAGCGTGCTTGTAGGTCGGTGTGCATGCCAGTAGGTGTATTTGCCACTTAGTGTTCTCGTAGGTCGGTTGGTTGTCGGGCGATGTGTTTGACGACCTGTATGTTTGCCGGCGGGTGTGTGCATTGAAAAGGACACTTGATTTCATTTGATTCCACTTATTTATTTTCGCCAAAAAACATTAAAAACTGTATTGCACGTAGGGGGAGGTACACGATCTGCAACTAGACTTTGGCTGCGCAGGCACGTACGCGTGGCGGCCGACCTCAACAACATGGCATGGCGCGTGCGTGCGGACGAAGTGCTGGCTGAACCCGGCCGGCCGTTTTCCTCGCGGCTGGGATTGCAACGCGCAGCAGAGGTGAGCGACACCTAACGGTCACGCAGGCTGCGGCGACCAGAAGGTCCAGACCAGGCATTACACAACGCCTGCTTCCATTCTGCACTCGAGAGCGGGTGGCATTCTGCACTCGAGCGCGGCGAAATACGAAGAGTGGGGAATAGGCAGAGTTGCTGGGAGGCGAGCAGCCTGTCATTCCGCAGGGCGAACGACTCAGCGCGTAGTTTGTCTGGGCGTCTAATGCCTCCCCTTATTTTACCTTTCGAAATTATCTAAAATCTGTTTTGTGACGAAGATATGCCTAATATAAAATATGCAATTCCAAGAAGTGTAATGTTTGCCAGCACACGTATTTGTGACAACAACCCCCTATTGTGAATCTGAATACCTAGAATAGGTCTTGTTAAATAGAATGCAAAAGCTTCATCTTATAAACGACGTCGTACACCATTATGAATAGGTTCGTTGATTTGTTATGAAAAATGTGTAACATAATCTTGTCAGAAGTGAAAGCAAAAAGACGAACGTTTAAGAATAAGAATTTTAGCTTTGATAGAACCGCCTATTCAATTAAAAATTTTGTGTTCGGCATCATATTGAATTTGTCATCTCAGCAATGCGAAAGAGAATTACTTTATCAGCACTGCAAGCCATTAACATGCCTGACGTACAAATCAAATACATTCGTCTAATTCGTTTTAGTGTTACAATGTCATCAATCTAAAACACACATTCCTAATGTAACACAAAAAGTAATATTAATTGAACTGTGTGTAAGCCATGTTCTCACCGTTTGCTCTTTTAATTTACGCGCTACGGTTTGTTTTGCTCATTTTCATTGGTGATCCCCTCTTCTAGAATGTGTCTGATCCCCACCATTCCTTTCTACCCTAAGTTGCACTTGAGTGGCTCACGTGCGGCTTCCGAGGTCGGTGAAAGTGCAAAATCATGTGCAGGCCTGGTATAAACTCTTAGCCGCCGACAAATAAATACGTTTCCAAAATCAGCTAAAGTATTTGGAGTAATAAAACACGTGTAGAGTTCCTTGTGTAGACAGAGATGATATAATAAATTTGTAATTCCAACTGCTAATAAAATAGCATTTAAAATGAGCTATTTAAATAATGAGAAATTGGCTGATGAGTCTCTGAACATCAACTGATGTCAATGAGTGACTTTGACCGGGAAGTCCGAGGGTTCATGTCCCGAAGTAAGCGGATTTTCGGCAATGGTTACATAGCTAGTGATAATTCTGTCCCTTTCTGGAGAAGAAATCCAACGGGCGGCTGCCAGAGCACAGGAAACTACCGATCAGAATCGGTAGTTTTCTGTGTTTTTTCTGATTAACACCAGGCGAATGCAGAACCCTAAATGGGCCACGGACCACTTGCGAAGTTTTCTTTTTCTGTGCCTCCAAAATTTGACATATTTTCTCAATTTAACCACCATTGTGTTTCAAACTCACTGCACTATTCTTGCGGTACACGGTAAGATTTTTTTAAAACGAGGTTGCTGAAACATATAGAAAATGTTTTATAAACTATTTCGTAAAATTAGTTTGTTGTACGTGGTGAAATTTTCCGATACACTGTTTGACCCGCCGTCTGTGGAAATAATGTGTACTAATTTTACTGTTTCAGCCTATCGTCTTGCATTACGATTACCACAAAGGGACGTTGGCAATATACAAGTTGGGGTACTTCTAATATTCATACAGACGCGCTTTTTCGAGAAAACTGACCTAATGTACGTCCGGACGCAAATTTGCAGCGTTGGTCGTCATCTGAGCTTCGCAGTTCTCTCACCAGTTGCGTTGTTTTCGACGGCATTCACGAGTACTGATTGGTTGTTGCATAACATTATTTGATGAAAATACAGGAAAAGTTGTGTTTTATATTTTTATAACACTGCATTTTACCGCATGAATGTTAGATTTTATAAACTTTACGTTTTATTGAAGATTTTATAAAACAAATTTACAGAAAGTGTCGCCGTGTACAATAGGTATTACAGAATATAACATCGTTCGAGATAAATAAGAGCAATAATTGTTGTCACTCCAGCGTCTCTAATCGGGAAATCGTAGGGTACGAGCCCCGACAGGGGCGGATTTCCGACGCTAGCTAAATTATTTGGTTGAATTCGGCCACTGTCCGGAGGATAATTCTAGCGGTCAGCTGCTTTTATAGGTAGTTTTTCATTTTTCTCAGATCAATACCAAATCATTGCCACTACAATAACTATATAAACAGGCCACTGAGTGCGCGCGGTCTTTTCTTCCTCATTCTTATCCTCTCTTCTCTCTTTACAGACATACACACTAACATTAACTACTCTTTAACACATTTCGGGAGATCACACGGAAGCTTAGAGCTTGTTCTAGCTGGATGGATGACTCGCTGGCGGAGATATCTGGAGGAGTCAACTCCTCCAAACCGACGTGTAATTCAACACCGAATCTCGCGATCTAGTGAATGGAACTAATGACCATTGCAGATGACGCTCCGGAAAGTTATTAACCAACCAGAATAAAGTGCTGGATGTAACTTACTGCCTATTGAAATATCTTTTATTCCTCTCGAAGTTTCAAAACACTCTTCGATTAAAAAGCGGAAGAGGTAGCTAGGTGCATCAACTGATGTCACTGTGGTATTTCTGGCCGGGGGTCCTAGGCTCGAGTCCCCACAGTGGCGAGATTTTCAACACTAGCTTGTCAACTACGTCGAATTCAGTCGCTGTCCGGGGGAGAATCCTAGTGATCGGTTGCTCTGATCGGAAGTTTTCTGTGGTTTCTCCGAACAACACCAAGGAAATGCTGGAACAATACCCTAACAAACGGGCCACGGACCACACGCTATCTTTCCTTTTTCCTTGTCTTATCCCCATACCTCAAACACACTAAAATGCACTACACTTCCACACATGCCGGGAGATCGGTCGGGAGCTTAGAGCTTGTCCCGGCAGGGGCGGTGCCCCGCTGGAGGGAGATCCCTGGAGATACCTTGTGTAAAATCCCGCTTGCCGTCGTTGTGTCGGCGCCGGATCTCGCTATCCAGCGGGGGAAGATCACCGCCACCTCACGCGGAAAAGAACATGCACTACACTTACGTGACTATTGACCCCGATAGTTGACGCGCCCGGAATCACTAACAACCAACCAATCAACTCTTCGATTAAATGTAGGTCGCTGATCCTTGATCAAAAGGAACAATCGCTACAGTGAGTGACTGACTTTCTCTTTCTTGAGCAGAGCGATTGGCAGTTTTCATCGCATTGCTTCGGTCCGGGCCACGTTCCTGCATATTAAGAGTGTTGCTACACTCTAGTTTCAATTTGGCATCTGTGGCAATGGCTAACATATTATTATCCGAGGCATGGTAGAAACAATGCGTTAATATTTATCAGAACAATTATGATCTATCAGCAAATTTTATAAAACATGAGTATGCACGAGAAAGTCCCTGATTTTCGAAAACAACCGGTCGAACTTAAATTTGTTGTGCAAAAAGTTTTGATACTTCACCATCCCATAAATCATCTAACGATTCCTATATCCGTAACTGCTCCGTTCATCCACCCTTGCTATCCACCAGTCTGTTCGAAGTGCCTTGACAGGGCGAAGAGCTCAAAACTCCGCAGTATGCGGCCTTAGCACGGACTCCTCGTCTTGAAGGATGTTCGATATCCTGATGCTGACGTTCCATCGACCTCGATGTCCAGGGCGGGCGAGGCGGCGCGGCCGGCGGCGGCGGCGGCGCCAACGGCGGCGGCGTGGGCGGCGGCGGCGGAGGCGGAGGCGACGTGTGCGGGGGCGGGGCCGCCGACGCGGACAAGACGAGCAGGCGGGGGTCATTCCTGTCCTGCGACACGCTGCTGCCCGCGCACGTGTACACCGCCGTCGGCATCTACAAGGTACTCGGGGCCACGGGTCGTGGGAGCACAGTCGTTAGACGAAATGTACTTTCTCACATATCAATCCCTGGATCAATCCAATTAATATTATTATATAATATATTCAACAACACATTTCAAGAAATAAAATTAATTTTAACTCAATTTCCCAATTATTGTGCGGTTCAAAGAATCTTCATTTAATCAGGTAATTCTAAAGCACCAATGGTATTATCGTGACCATTTCGCAAACTTATTTGGAAAAGTAAAATAAATATGACCAAAAATATAAGGATGTAAAATATTCACTTATTGGTGTCCGAATCGATGATTTGGAATTCTATAGTAAGGTATAGTACTAGAAAAATGTATTCAATATTTTTTGTTAACTAACTCATAGAAGAAAATATAAAATACGATCTTAACAATTTCTTTATATTTTTGTCTGATATTAAGCCTTATAAATAAACATAAATGTAATGCGATTTATGTAAGTGCCGGTAAGTGAAATTAAGTTATGCTAATTTGAAGCTGAAAGAAAACCATATGTATTTCATCTGCATCACCCCGATAAACTATTCATTCTATTATTGACAATACACGACTTGGGTTGGTTGAATTTCAAATGAATTCTTTCATTCTATTGTTCACTTACTATGAGAGAGAGAAGTTAAATACTATTTTGACAAGATTTGTCAAAATAGTATATTGAAACAAGGGGAATTCTGTTCACTCTATAAATGTTTTCGAAATATTTGAATAACTTTTCATACCCCTATACACTCGCACATCTATTGACTTGGACACAGACGTCATCATTTAATCTAACATCTTTCTTTAGACTGGGATATTTCCAGTCATTATAATATCACGAAAAGTGTAATCAATCTCATATTGATAATGAGTCTTCTATTTTCCTTTGTTTGCCTTTAAATATAAATTTCCTTTTTTTTTCAAATAGCTTCCTAATTAACTCACAAGTCATCGATATAGTATGAAAATACCGTTGCAGAAACCAAGGCCTAGTAGGAAAAGCATGTAAAGGGAAACTCTAGAATATATCGAGCCATTCAACCCATTTCCCGGGATGAAAATTAAAGCAATGCGTAAAAATGAATGTAATGATAAAGCTAGTGATAAAGCCTGTGTGAAAAACAGCGCTCATCTCAGTCACATAACTGGCGCAGGAGGAAGATATCTTGGCCGGCGCCAACATGGCGACGAAAATATTCATGGGTTCGTCGCCAGATATTTATTGATTTATTTTGGTTATTAATTAACATCAGAAATCATAAAATTTGGGAGAACTTTCATTTAATTTACAGTAGTAAAGACGGGGACTATCTCAGTATTTCCTCAATGGATCAAAGAATACCGAACCAAAATATTGATCGATAAATGAATCAGAAGATTTTTACAATAATTCGTAAAGGAATATTCAGAACTTTATAATAATAAAAATGACAAGTAATTGATGTATTAGCATTATTAGTACAAAATATGTTATTATTACTATTTTGATGCTCAGTGATGTCACTAAAAACCTCCGTTGATACTCCTACAAATTTTTGCCTAGTTATTCACTCCACATAATAAGCAGCATTTATCTTACATATATTTAACGAGCGATAAACAAAGATAATGGCTGGTATATTTGACGTCCGATCTTGATAGCATGCCTGCGTTAATTAATATAATGTGCAGATAAATGTCGCTTTGCACAAGAACCACATTAGCGTTCAACAAATAGATTAATAATTTTAAATAACTACGATAAAATATTAAAGGTACGAAATAAAAGAATTAAAATGAATCTAATATAATTGAACAAGTAAATTGGAGAGCTTAAAATAAAGATGTTCGATCATTAAGATAATACTATTTTGGGGGCAAACTCTCTTGCATTCATTCGTATTTTATAATTAATCTGTTTTGTTTTCCGTGACACTCCTACGTAAAATATGAATGCTAAATTAAGTAAATTAGCCATTCTACATGGTTAAAAGTAATTAATCATATTCTAGCTCACTTGACGATTTTATGATTAGTAATAAATGATGTGATTAACATTGTGTTTCGTGTCAGGATATAGGTGAAAAGTTACGTGAGTAAATTCATGCGTCTATCAAGATTGATAAGGTAATTAGTTGTATGATTCGCGGCGACCTTATCAACATAAAGGGAAACGACACAATATTGTTTGTCAAGCAAATGCGTATGCCAATTTGCTTACACTAATTATATATGACATGAATGTTAGTTACTGCTAATATAAGAAAAAATAATTAGTAAAGTTTGATTTGTTAATTAATGAATATTTTTCTCCAATGTATCAGAAGAGTATATTTTATATTAGTAATACTTCTATACTCAGCATTGACCCTGAAACTGTGCTTTTCGTTACCTGAGAGATTCGCCTAAAACGAATGACGATTATTCGTATTGTCTTTAAGTAATTGTATTTATTAGTTAACTAAAATACAAAATATAAATTAATATAAATATAAACTATAAATATATTTACTTAAGTAAGTTTGTAAGCATTCAGTGTAATGTGTTTCAGCAAGTTTTATTATGGGTTCACAGGAAACACGTGTTGCGATAAAGAAAGTAACAATCAAGAAAAAACTGGATATCAACAAGAAGCTTCTGTGGGAGATAAAGCAGGTACGTTGGAAGCAAAATCACACATGCAAAATGGGAACAGATATCTTGAAGTGTCTAAAAATTGCACATTTCATTAAAATATTTAGCAGTGAAATTATTGTTTGAAAAACCTACTTTACAAATTTAAAAAAATGGAAGTCGTGTTAAACTAATATTATTATTTTGAACATGAAATATACAGTATTTATTTATTGGTTTAACTTAAAAAATACTGTATTATACTGTGTGGAGAAATTTAATCTGTACATAGTACATATATTTTAATTATTCAAATATCTTATAGTCATAAGTTTAAACTTGATTACATTTTAGACGATCTTTCGGATGTAAATGTGCAGATATAACCATATATGTAAATCTACAATATACAATCTACATAAGACTTAAACACAAATGCAAAAGTTACGAAAATCAATAATCGCCTCGTTGTGATATTTTCATTATTGTAATACATTTATCCCATGACTAGTCAGGGGTGAAAGCAAAAATGAAAGTTTCATTTTAATTGATTTACAGTCAAAATTATAAAAAAAAGTCTGTGGCAATTGGTGGAAAAGTGCAAGTTAAGTTGCGAGACAACAGTGGGTCATCGTATTTTCTTTTACTTTTCTGCAGTTTTCGTGACACAAATCTCACAGCGTCCAATGTAAGGAGTACTGTAAAGGTGGTTGTGCAGTATTAGTAGGTGTGGTATGGGGGCTAGTGTGAGGAAGGATATGAGCTTCTTAGAGGTGCTTGAGAGATTCCTGATGGACTGGTGCAATGACTGACCCAAGACCTGTACGGAGACGTAGTGTGATGGCTGATGTGAAGACTCTTGTTTGACCTGATCTAAGGGCGGGTGCGATAATTAAAGATAAGGCCGGTGGGAGCATGGGTACCTGTGCAGTTCGTGGTGAGTGAGGAATGATAGCTGACCGATCACTGTTGCGGGATACTTGAGGAATAATGTGAGGTTTGATGTAAGGGAGCCTATAGTGAGGATCTATATGCCAATTTTTTTATGTGTAGTAAAAATTGGAGTGAGAATCTGAGTGAGCGGGTAGAAGGATTCACGTGTGGGTTTGTTGTGATGTCTGTAATGAGGGCCGACGCAATGAATGACTTATATGATATGTTGTGTGTTAGATTGAAGCCACTTCCATGAACAGTAGTAAGAACTACTGTAAATCAGTGTGAAGAGTGCTGAGGGGACTGCTAGGCGATTAGATGTAGCACCGGTAGCGAATACTGTTGTGGTGGCTGATGAAGGTCAAATCCATTAGCAATCGGAAGAACTAGTGAGTCAGTGAGATGCATGTTGAGGGGCTGGATCGTGGGTTGGTATGCTGCATGAAGCAATGCTATTGTCGAGATTGAAGCCTCTTTTAGCTCTCATACTACTCCAGTTTACACAGAGTGGCATTTCAAGATCACGAGCTGGAAGTAGGGGACGTTGTCATCAAATCGGGACCTTCAATACCATCAATTTAAGTCGTAACGAAACTCCCGATTGAGTAAGTGACCTTGAAATACCATTCTGTTTAACTCGGAGTAGTGTAAAGGATATTGGGCGCGAGCGCTGGCTTGAGCGGGAGGGTCCTGCGAGCGCAGCGTCGACCCGAGACTTGCCGTGCGAGAGAGGGCTGCTTGCGTGTGCAGGTGCGGGACGTGACGCACGAGAACACGGTGCGCTTCATCGGCGCGTGCATCGACACGTCCGACATCCTCATCCTGACGGAGTACTGCCCCAAGGGCAGCTTGCGCGACGTGCTCGAGAATGACGAGTTGGAGCTGGACTGGAACTTCCGCATGTCACTCATCCACGACGTCGTCAAGGTATGCGATGCAACTGCTCGCTCGGCGTGGCTGGTGACTTTGTGTGACGTGGATGGTTGACGACTTTTTCTCGCCACTCATTAATAAATGTATAATGTACTCAAATGTCTGAATTAACCTTAGTTGCGTGATCAAATATTATGTGATTTAGTTATTAGGACATTTTAGGGTTAGGAGAGAGGAATGGTGATGGGAGGGGAAGGGCGAGGGGACGGAAAGAGGTAATGGTGGATGAGCGGAGGAAGAGCGGAGGAAAGCGGTGGAT